GAAACCTCATGAAGTATAAGGGTCTAGTTTAACATTCAAGTCAAATATAGAATCTCTTATGTTATGCTGTCTTTGTTTAAAGCACAATTTCGATACGTGTATCAAAGGTCGGAATAAATTAGATTTTAACAAACTTTGTACCAACTTAGAAAACCCTACTCCCTTTGCCCCGCCTATAAATAATGTTTTAGCAATTTTCAGTCATTCTCAATGCAACTCAACATATGGTGGCTGAGAAATTGAAGGGCATTCGCCACAATGAGGAGGTCATTTATGACGATGACGATGGTGGAATTCAATTTCAACATGAATCCTCTTCTTAGATTCTCCATAACCAAATTGCCGATTCATTGCAAGTTCACTTTACTTTTTTGTTTCGGAAGTAACTCTCATCAAGTAGCACTAGTTTGAGGTGAACTAGCACTGGTTGATGTCAACCTTTTAGGAATAATTTATCAGATTGGTTAAATCTAAGATAATAACATACTCTTTATTTAATACGATCCCACTATACATATCGATTTACATATAGATTCACCGACTATATTTCAGCCATCTAGAGATTCTGATCTATTTAAACATTACTAGAATTGATATATCCATATATCATGTTTCTGCGGGCATAAGAGTTTTTTCCTTTATGTTCGGTGAAAATCACATGTTATACTATATTCCGATAAATAGATATCCGCGTTATGATACAAGTAAAATTTTATTTTCCTTATTTGATGATGTATTGAATTCATTTATTTCGTAGTGATTGAATAAACTATCATGGGCAAAAACATCTTCTTCTTTAAAATAACATTTTAATTTTAATTGGTCTATTTGATCTAATAGAAAAATTGACCAATATTATGTCTTTTAAATTAATTTTTGTTGTAAAATGAGAGCAAAATACTATAATACTAAACAAGGAGGTAAGACAAATAGAAATATTAAGTAGAAGTATTCTTTGAACTTTTTAAATATGTCTTTCATTAGGGTGAAAAGACTACCCTTTTATAGGATTTAGAAAACACCCTTTTACATCCTTCAATCAAATACGTTAGCACAACTTTTACATTAAATAGGTTCATTACGTTATGTTGTTAATGAAAAGAAACATCCACAATTCAATGGTTTTATAACACTCCCCCTTGGATGTTTATAGATAATGTGCCTCGTTAAAACCTTACTAGGGAAAACCCAGTAGGAAAAAGCCTAGTGAAGGAAAAAGAGTACACACATCTTGTAATACGCCTTGAGTGTTGCCTCATTAAAAACCTTACCAGGAAAACCCAATGGGACAAAACCTTGGCTAAGGAAAAAAGAGTACAACTCGTATTTTACTCCCCCTGATGAAAACTTTATTTGATATCTCGGAGACGACGCATTCCAATCTTATATCTTAGCTTCTCAAATGTTGACGTTGGCAATGCCTTAGTGAATAAATCTGCAAGATTATCACTCGAACGAATCTGTTGAACATTTATCTCACCATTTTGTTGAAGATCATGTGTGAAAAAGAACTTAGGTGAAATATGCTTTGTTCGGTCTCCTTTGATATATCCTCCCTTTAATTGAGCTATGCAAGCAGCATTATCTTCATACAATATTGTTGGAGTCTTTGTTTGCACAGAAAGACCGCATAATTGCAAAATGTGTTGAGTCATTGATCTCAACCATACACACTCTCGACTAGCTTCATGAATGGCTATTATCTCTGCATGATTTGAAGAAGTAGCAACTATTGTTTGCTTCATCGAACGCCATGATATAGCCGTACCTCCATATGTGAATAAATAGCCTGTCTGAGATCGAGCTTTATGTGGATCAGACAAATAGCCAGCATCTGCATAACCGATCAATTCTGACTTGGATGCATTAGAATACAACAATCCCATATCAATTGTTCCTTGAAGATATCTGAATATATGTTTAACACCTTTCCAATGTCTTCTTGTTGGACATGAGCTGAATCTCGCCAATAAACTTACTGCGAAACAAATATCTGGCCGGGTATTGTTGGCCAGGTACATTAGTGCCCCAATAGCACTAAGATATGGTGTTTCATCACCAAGAATCTCTTTATCCTTTTCTTGAGGTCGGAATGGATCTTTATTTATATCGAGAGATCTCACAACCATCGGGGTACTCAATGGGTGTGATTTATCCATGTAAAATCGCTTCAAAACCTTTTCAGTATATGTTGATTGATGGATAAATATTCCACTTTTCAAATGTTCAATCTGAAGGCCAAGACAAAATTTTGTCTTTCCAAGATCTTTCATTTCAAATTCTTTTTTCAAACACTCAACGGCTTTTGAAAGCTCTGTAGGAGTTCCAATGATGTTCAAGTCATCAACATAAACAGATATTATTACAAATTCAGATTTTGACCTTCGTATAAAAATACAAGAACAAATAGGGTCATTCTTATACCCTTCTTTTAGCAAATATTCACTAAGATGATTATACCACATTCGCCCTGATTGTTTCAATCCATATAAGGATTTCTGAAGCTTTATTGAACAACTTTCTTTTGAATTTTCATATGCTTCAGGCACTTTGAGTTCTTCAGGGATTTTCATAAAAATATTGTGGTCTAGTGAGCCATATAAATAGGCTGTGACAACGTCCATTAGATGCATTTCAAGCTTTTCATGAACTGTCATATTTATTAGATACCTGAAGGTAATTGCATCTACCACAGGAGAATATGTCTCCTCATAATCAATGCCAGGTCTTTGCGAAAATCCTTGTGCCACAAGTCGTGCTTTATATCTTACGACTTTACCATTTTCATTGCATTTTCGCACAAAAACCCATTTGTACCCCACTGGCTTGACACCTTCAGGTGTTCGGACTATTGGTCCAAAAACTTCACGTTTTTCAAGTGAAGCCAATTCTGTTTGAATTGCTTCCTTCCATTTTGGCCAGTCATTTCTCTGTCTACATTCATTGAGAGATCTTGGCTCCAAATCCTCATCTTGTTGCATTATTTCAACTGCAACATTATAGGCAAAAATATTATCCACCACAATATTATTTCGATTCCACATTTTTCTCGTCGAGACATAACTTATAGAGATTTCCTCATTCTCATTATTTTCTGGTACATGGACTTCCTCTTTGGTGTCATCATTTATTATGTCTCGGAGCTCTTCATGCGCAATTGCCTCCATATTATGATTATCTTGATCATTTATTCCTTTCCTTTTCCGAGGATTTTTATCCTTGGAACCAATTGGTCTACCACGCTTTAAGCGTGGTCCAGACTCATTTGCCTTAACATTTTGTCCTATCGGGATATCAACTCGAACTTGAGCATTAGCAGCTGGGATATATGATTTAGTAACCCGTGGAAGGTTAGTAAATGCATCCGGCAGTTGATTTGCAATATTCTGCAAATAAATTATCTTTTGAACTTCCAGCTCACATTGATTTGTTCGAGGGTCTAAATGAGACAGTGAAAGTGAATTCCAATCTATCTCATTTCCCAACTGCTTTTGTTCTCCCCCCAATGTTGGGTATACTGATTCATCAAAATGACAATCAGCAAACCTTGCCGTAAATAAATCTCCAGTTCTAGGTTCCAAATATTTTATAATAGAACGAGATTCATACCCAACATATATCCCCAACCTTCTTTGGGGACCCATCTTTGTGCGCTGTGGTGGAGCAATTGGAACATATACCGCACAACCAAATATTCTAAGATTGGAAATGTTTGGCTCCTGACCAAAAACCAATTGTAATGGGGAGATATCATGATAACTGGTTGGCCTTATGCGCACAAGTGCCGCTGCATGCAAAATAGCATGCCCCCAAACAGAAACGGGCAACTTTATTCTCATCAACAATGGTCTAGCTATTAATTGAAGACGTTTAATCAATGACTCTGCTAAACCATTTTGAGTATGAACATGTGCAACAGGATGTTCAATTGTTATTCCCGTGGACAAACAATAATCATTAAATGCCTGAGATGTAAATTCACCAGCATTATCAAGACGAATTGTTTTTATTGCATAATCTGGAAATTGTGCTTTTAACCTTATTATTTGAGCCAACAACCTCGCAAAAGCCATATTGCGAGTTGATAATAAGCATACATGAGACAATCTTGTAGATGCATCTATCAAGACCATATAATATTTAAATGGTCCACAAGCAGGGTGAATAGGTCCACATATGTCACCCTGTATCCGTTCCAGAAATGCAGGGGATTCCATCCCAACCTTAGCCACTGATGGTTTGACAACCAACTTTCCTTGTGAACAAGCAACACAAGAAAATTCCTTTGATTTGAGAACATTTTGGTTCTTCAAAGTATGTCCATGTGAATTTTCAATTATTCTGCGCATCATATTATAACCGGGATGGCCTAACCGGTCATGCCAAATGATAAAATCATTAGAACCAGTAAACCTTTTGTTTACCACGGCATGTGATTCAACTGTACCAATATTTGTATGGTACAACCCAGTAGAAAGTGCAGACAATTTTTCATGCACAATTTTCTTCTCTGCATTTATTGTAGTAATATAAAGGTATTCAACCTTTCCTTCATTCGCAGTCTCAACATGATAGCCATTTTGGCGAATAACCTTGAAACTTAACAAGTTTCTTTGAGACTTACTACAATACAATGCATTATCAATTACCAATAATGTTCCTCCAGGTAGTAATAAGGTTGCTCTTCCAGAACCCTCAATCAATTTTGTACTACCGGATATTGTATTAACATATGCCTTTTTCATTACCAAATGAGAGAAATATTTCTTTTCTCTTAGTATCGTATGAGTTGTGGCACTGTCCAGAAGGCACATATCTCCATTACTCATATTGAATCCAACTGAAGACTGGAAAAATTTATTTATCTTCATAAAAATAAAAATACATAATAAGAAGTACGAAATTTAACAAAAAAAAATCTTAAGTACATAAACTTTAATGAAGACATTAAAAATACATAAAAAAAAACATTATTCATTTTCCAGTTTAATTATCAATCTTCAGTTGCGATCCCCAAAGAAGTCCTCAGCTTCTAGATGAGTAATATCATCGAGCCCATCAAAAGCATCATCTTTCAATGCTAAATTCGCCTTAACATTCTCATCATATTTTTGAGAAGACCCTGCCTGAGCATCATCTTTGAGAGTCAAATGTGACTCCACTCAGGCATTATAAAAGGAGGCACCACCTTTATTCCCTTTCCTTTTAAAGAAATTTTGATACAGCCTGACAAAATGCTCAGGTACCCGACATTCATTTTTCCAGTGACCTTTAAGGCCACAACGATGACAGTGATCGCCCTTGCCTTTTGAAGGATTATTTTGAGAACCCATATTGTTCTCCCTTTTGTTATGACCACCACCTCGACGATTATTATATCGTCTTTTGCCTTTGCCACGTCCACGCACATTATCATGGCCCCGATTATTTTGTCTTATTTTAGACTGGCCGTGTGCTTCTACCCCGTGGGCCTCCGGTAATGGAGCACTTCCAGTGGGACGGACTTCATGATTTTTCATTAAAAGGTCATTATGCTGCTCAGCCACCAGAAGGCATGAGATTAATTCAGAGTATTTTTTAAAACCCTTTTCACGGTATTGCTGCTGTAATATCATATTAGAGGCATGGAAAGTAGTTAGTGTCTTTTCCAACATGTCCTCATCTTTTATAACTTCCCCACATAATTTTAATTGGGAAGTGATTCTAAATACAGCAGAGTTATACTCAATTACGGTTTTATGATCTTGAAACCGTAAGTGCATCCACTCATAACGAGCCCTTGGCAATACCGATGCCTTGAGGTGGTCATACCTCCCTTTCAAACCTATCCACAATTCAAGTGGATCTTTCACTGTTAAGTATTCAACCTTCAGGCTTTCATCAAGATGATGACGAAGGAAAATCATAGCTTTCGCTTTATCCTGACTTGATGCCTTATTTCCTTCGATTATACAATCACCAAGACCCTTAGCGGTAAGGTGAATTTCAGCATCAAGTACCCATGACAAATAGTTCTTTCCAGAAATGTCAAGTGCCACAAATTCAAGCTTTGATAAATTCGACATGATGAAAACTATCATAAAATAGTTGAGTTAATAACATGATTTTGATTTCTTTATAATGAAAGATAAATTAATATTTCAAATGATTAAGAATTAGTATAAAATATATCATATGCATGAATATGGGATGTTACAAAAGCATGTAAACTCATAAAGTATGAAACGGTATATATTCTAATTATTTTACTATATTTATTACTAGTTCAATAGTTATTAACGCCAAAGCTACCGTAAGATTTTAAGTCATATTTAATATAATACTATTATTCTTTATGACACACCAATATTTATCATAAATTTATGACAAGAAATTAAAATACTTACGATTATTCTAACTAGCATGTTATCATATATCCTAGTATTTAATTTAGAGTTATAAGTTACTAGCATATAAACAACATAAAAATATAAACCTGAAACGTATTGATTATTATGCCTAGTAAAGTATCATACAAATACCTAAAGCAAGTTATATATGCAGTAATTAAATCGTTGATCAAAGACTTATGTAAGTCCTATTAGATATGTTATAAACATATAAATGTATACCTGACTCGAAAAGAAAATTGATTAACTTTTTAGGGAAAAAGATAATTCCGAATTAGGTCTTAATTGGTTAGAGACTCGTGCTGATAACGTGTTGTAAAATGAGAGCAAAATACTATAATACTAAACAAGGAGGTAAGACAAATAGAAATATTAAGTAGAAGTATTCTTTGAACTTTTTAAATATGTCTTTCATTAGGGTGAAAAGACTACCCTTTTATAGGATTTAGAAAACACCCTTTTACATCCTTCAATCAAATACGTTAGCACAACTTTTACATTAAATAGGTTCATTACGTTATGTTGTTGATGAAAAGAAACATCCACAATTCAATGGTTTTATAACAATTTTGTCTTAGATTTATTTTTAATTTTTTTTAGAATAAGTGGTTAATTCAACATTTAATAAATGAGATATAACTTAATTTTTTTTAAAATTTCCAAATTAAAAACAATTTGCAGTGAGTGATTCAATTAAAAACGTTGAATCACCTACACTTAATCAATAGACTTAAGATCATTTTTTTCAATTAAGCTTTATTTAGATGAAACTGATATATATATATATATATATATATATATATATATATGAAAGTAAGTCTAAAAATTGGTGGGTAGATTATTCAACTTTATGTTTATTATACAAATTTTATTTTTCCTTTTTATGTTACATAGAAATTATATTACTTTTTCATGGTTATCAAAAAATTATTTTGACCGAATTTTATAAAACTTCCACGTAAAAATGAAATGATAGTCTTAATTAGTGTTTGATTTTAATTAAATAGAATTATTCATTATTCTATTTACTCATATCATTATTCATTGTATCACTTAATTTTGCTTTCTCATTTATATTGTATTGATGTCAATCCGGAGGAGTTTGCTCCCTTAGAATTATAATTAATTAAGAAAATTAAATTTAATTGTTTTTAATTTTGAATTTTTTTGCCTAATTTATAATTTACTAGATAATTTTAAGTCCGTGATACGGGCCCAATATAATGAAAGGCCCATTTACGGGCCCAATATTACAATATTATATATATTTATAATAGAAATTTAATTAGTTTTCAAAAAGAAAAATTATTATGACATTTTCAAATAAACATGATACAAATAATAATAAAATATCAAATGCTCTAGTGCTCATTATAACATCATGTCAAACATATATATTCGAATTAAATAATTAATTTAATGATATTCTTTTTCTATTTTATTTGAAAATTATTCAAGAGAATAGATTAAAATTATTCTCAATTTATTAACAATTTTCATAAAATATATGAAGCAATAAATTCTACTATTCACCTATAGATTAATTTTGAATACACTTATAAATTTGTTTTAAAGGTGTTTAACAAACAAAAATAACGACCTACTTGATGAAAATTAGAATGAATCATCTCATTATTTACAAAGTGATAAAGGATAAAAAAAAAGTTATGACTTTATATCTTGTTTTTATATTCATTAAAATTAGGAGAACAATCTAGTATAGTAACGAAAGATTTTTTTTCTAAAGTAATTTATATATCCGATGAATGAATGTTATACCTCAAATAATGAGATGTTAAAAATATTAACAAAAGGTAATATAATTATAGATTGCAGAAATTTAACATAAGGTAGTTAAAATAATAATTTATATAACTTGATAAAAATGATTTTAACTGATGATAAAATAATAGTACTTAATAAATAATATATGTTTCTCAATAAATTATATAATGACATATATGTTATGTGAAATTTTGGGATTATACATAAAAAGAGAAATCAAGTAAATTAGATACTCTTTACAATCCAGAAAGAAAAGCAACACCAGGAAATTGAAAAGTCTAAAGAGAACCAAAGAAAAGGACATAACATGCTCCGAAATTTTTGAAAATTTTATTCTTGAAGAGCTTGCTCACTGATTGCATTCCTTATGAATTACGCCTTTTGAGAATTGCAATTATGATTGATATTGGATTTAACATATTAACTGGTTCATTATCATATTCATTAGAATGTTTGAAAAATGTGGATCAATTGAATTTTGTTGAAAATTTGTTATATGGACAAGTTCCAGAAGTGATGTGTTCACTAAGAAATAATGAATTTTACTTTTGTCTTATAATTGTTTTACAAAAGTAGGGCCATTAGGGAATAGATGAAAAATGAAGTTCTTAATGTTGAAAAAATTGTGTTATTAGTCTTCCGATTAAGAGATTTATACTGAAGTGTGTAATATTTAGAACTATTTAATTTTCTTGATATCATTCTTGGTAGATTTTTGTTAGCGTAAAATTACATTTTTACCCTTGATCATAACATAATTCACTTAATATATAAAAAGATGTTTCTAGAATTATTTACTATCTTTCTTAATAGATTTTTGTTAGAATGAAATTATATTTTTACCCTTGGTCGTCCTACATATTATTAATTTTTATCACACTTATTTCTTTTCAAGTATATTAATTAGAGCCAAAATAAAGGTCAAAATAATTAATTCATAATGAATTTTTATATTAAAGTAGGCATTTTTGATAAGCATAATGAATAGAAAAAATTATTAAGCATTAAATTAACGTAATAGTAAAATAGAGTAATGAATAGATATTACAATAACTCACAAAAGAAAAGAAAAGAAAAGAAAGTGAAGTAATAACAAAATAAGTTAATGGTAATAACAATAACAAAAGATGTTTCTAGAACTATTTAATTTTCTTGATATCATTCTTGGTAGATTTTTGTTAGCGTGAAATTACATTTTTATCCTTGATCATAATTCACTTAATATATAAAAAGATGTTTCTAAAATTATTTACTATCTTTCTTGATAGATTTTTGTTAGAATGAAATTACATTTTTACCCTTGGTCGTCCTACCACTTCACTCTTCTATATAATAGAAATATTAACTCCATAATTGTATAATATAAAAAGAACAAATTTCTTTTGTACCTGGTAGCTTGATGAATATTGATGATGTACATTATTAAAATTTTATAAATTAGTTGTCTCAATATTCATGAAAAAAAAAAAGTGAACATACCACATAACTTTCTCAAATATATAATTTTAATAAATTAATAATCGAGCTTTTTAGATATGTGCCCTCTTCTTTATCAGAAATATACCTTTCATTCATAAATTTGGACTATTACAGCGAAATTAGACAAATTTTATGAATTCATAAATAGAAATTAGAGGGAGCCATGATTTTGGAACGTACCTGAATTGCAGAGATACTCTTGAAGTTATTCATGAAGTTACTACTGCAATTTATGTTCGTTTCAAAATCATGGGTCTCTAATTTCTATTTATGAATTCGTAAAATTTTGTCTACATTCATCTACTATTGATACACAACATGATTTTTTTTATACGTTATAACTATGAGAGAAGTCATTCTTAGCGCGAATTATAAATAATTATGAATTTAAAGTATTTTGAAAAAGAAATGTTCACCATCAATTATACTTGTGATTCTGATAATTATGATTATTATTTCATGTTCATACATGTTATTTACCACATTATCTTATCCATCATATAAGAGTAAAATTTTACCTTCTTATCACTTTAGTTTCATGATATGCAATTCAAAAGATGATTGAATATTGATAATCAGAAGCTACTAAATTTAAATGATACTGTTTTGAGGCAGATATTTTGTTAATATCCTTGTTAATCGCTAGCTAAAGATGAATAGCAATAAAAATTAAGAATCATTTCATTGATGACTTAAAGTCACATTAATCTGAACTTAAATTACATGAAAGGAAATTATGAAGCCTTGCATCTCTGTTTTCATGGTTATTGAATGATCTATGAAGTTTCATTACTATGAAAAATAGAGATGACATGCTTCATTGTATGAGTTCATACTAATCATTTACTTCGACTTTAAGTTATTAATAACATAAATTTTTCAGTCTTTATTGTTACCACATTTCTGATAACAAGGCTTTCAACAAAAAAATTGCTTTAAAATTCGATAACTTATGTTTGTCTGATTGAATCATTATTTGGGTTGTGTATCCTGAAAGTTGAACGATACAAAAATTAAATTTCATTCTTATATAACTGATGAACAGTAAAAACAAATAACATGCACAGGTGTGGATAATAATCATAATTCTTAGGATTAATTGTCAACATTTTTAGTAATCATGCAATATCATGATTTGTTATTTGTGTTACAATCAATCTTCATATTTTTGTAAATGAATTGAATTTTTATTATTCATTTATTAAAATATATAAAGGTCAACAATGCTAATTAAGAGATTTGACATGTGAGTTTAATTGAAATTTTCGAGGGAGCCCCAAACATTAATTATTAGACAAGTGATACATATTTGGGAAAAACTTGGCAAATTTGGTTAGCTCATTATATGAAGAGGATGGATAATATGAATAACATGGACATCCATATAATCCTACATATATGGCAAACAGGTTTAAGCAAATAATGCTCCCCAACAATTGTACTGTTTGAATAGACAATATTTGTTTTTACTCATTTATTTATTCAGAATATCAGAATAGACAATAGCAATCGTGATGTAACATAAATGAATGTGTTTGTTTTTACTCGATCTTTCTTGCATATCACTTGTTCAGATTCGTGTTTAGGACACCCGAATGAATACCAAGCTTGATTATTAAACAGGATGAAATATAAATGCTTGCTCCTGTCTATTCTCATTCAACGATGTAGTTAGACAATCGATTGGAGTAGACGATTAGAGATCGAGAGATCATGATCATAAAATCAAACCTATAAATCAGTAATTTGATAACCATAGTTAATTCAGGCATGAGATGAGATGTGATACCCTTGGGTCTAATAAAATATATTTGGGTCCATATCTAGTCTCTTAAAATAGAAATAAGTTTATTTCTCTATCCAAATAGTAATAATGTCATAACATATGACTCAAGTAGAATTTTTATCTTACTTTTGTTTACACCAATTTTTAGAGTTGTTTCTCTATACAAATACACTGAAATATATCGTAGCTAAATATGAAACTTTTTTACGGCCATCAGCAATAGCCAAAAAATGTGTGCGAGGTTTCTTAATATTTTTTTTAAAAAAAGTAGGATAATATGGAAATCCATCCTCCTCTGGGTACATGTAATCGCGTTGGAAGAAAATGAGGCTTTTTGTACAAGGTGAACGTCTCGCCATTGAAAACTTGCATATAATTAACGAGATGGATCTGCAAAAGCAAAGAATAAAAAGGAGAGAAACAAAGACACTCTCTATTATTTATGTTACATCACGATTGCTAAAATCATAACACAGTTGGAAGCTGCTAAGTCCACAACTTTTTACATTTAAAGGAATATTGAGGGGGGACTAGAAACTGCAGTTCCCGACATCAATCAAACAAATGGGGGTCTTGCCATATAGCCCAAGAAGCACAATTGCTTGCTATTACAACTACATACTTCACTACTAACACATGTTAGAGAATATTGGTGCACAGGGAACCCCTCTTCTATGTTTGATTTCCTTTTTCCAGCCTACGAAATTGTTCAATCAATATCTCAACACTGCAATCATTGGCTCCAAATGCAAGCCCTGAAACAAAAATGTTAAATGATGCAAAGATCAATATACTGGTATGTTTTCATCATCCTAAAACCTATTAAAACATAAAACAACAATGAACACTAAACAAGTAGATAAAGCACAAGTAAGATGCTTGTATCAATTAACTACATCTCAGTCTCATGCGCAGATGCTATATTATCAGTAAGACCATATTCCTTCCCCTCAATTCGGACCACCTTTTCTTCAACCAAAAAGGATCTTGCGGAAAAAATATTGCATCGGAGTATAACACTGGAAAAAGAGGAAAACAGCACAAAAAACATTGTTGATATACCAAATACAAGAAGTAGCACAAAAGTAGGCAAATAGTAAAAAGTAAAAGAAAAAAGACACAAATCAAGTGAAATATTTTAACCCAACAGGGATCTAATTGACTACATGCTCATTCATGAAGGATAGGGACAGCCAAGAGCTAAGCAAACAGGTTTAATAATTGGGCAAAATTGGTGTTCCAAAATATTCATGTCTCGAGAAGATAATACTTCTCTGTTTTCTCAGCAAACACTCCCAAATTTGGGACTACTGGTCAGCGTCTTTTTCTTCTAAAACCAGCTTTTTAAAACTAAAAACGAAGTGTACGCTTCCAGCACTTCTCTATTTCAACTGAGAAACACTTGTTTTTTCACTTCACGTCGCCATCAGCCTTAAAAAGCAACAAACCTGCACCTCGTTGGGCTCGCTTTCAATAGCACCGATAGGGAATATCCCTTTATCTCTTTAATGAACCCAATTTGGATTTCCCTTGTCATGGAACCAATTAGTAGTTCAATCTCTTTTCCCTTGAATTGATTATCCTTTTCTCCTAATTTCTGTTCCTCCCTAATCTAATTTCTTGCGTTTATCCTATTTTGTTCTTAATTGTTATGTTTGAGGAATTAGTCCACAATATTATTAGGAACAAACCCCAACTTCAATCCTACGAGAACAACAACAAATCTCAGATAAAGCAATTTGAAGTTTCAGCTTCAAGCTTCACCCGAGTTCCAACGGAGTTCCGCGTGTTTTGCCACAATTTCTTCCAAATTTCAGCCAGAGTTTCGATCTTACAAACACAATACAATCAGTTTTCCAACTCAATCAGTACACAAAATTTCGAACTCAACCGCTTCATTTCAAAGCTCTCTTGGCCAACAATGGCAGATTCAATTTTCATCCAAGCCTAATCCAAATGGACTCATATGCGAATCAGGAGCTCCTTACAAGCATAGGAACTAAGACCAGGCAAGCAATTTGATTGAACCTTGACAAAATCAATCGAACCTAGATAATCTTCTTTGCCAAGTCAGTTGTAAATATTTTCGGTCGAACCCAGTTCAAACATGCTTCAATTGACTCGAAACCTCAAATTCAAACTCGAAAATTAATTTCCAACCGCCTTAGACGACACCCACTTGAATTGGACCAATATCTTCAAAGAATTTTCAGATTTGAAAAGCTCTGAACCCGTCAATGGTAAATTGCAGATTTCAAAAACAGAAACAGTAATCAAGTCCAGATTTGGGTCTTCAAATCACCCAAACTTTCTTAGATTAGCAAACCTCAGGTACCAGTGGAGAAGCACAAAGAGAAATAGAGAAGAACAAGATGAGTTTCGATATTCATATTTGTTTTAAACTCAAACAGTGTAGTGCAATATGAACCAAAAAGAATAAACACATATTTACTTTTCTGATTTTTTGATAAAAATCAAATACTTAGTGTGTGTAAGAACAAACACTAATCCAAACTCTGACACCAAGATGATACAAACTCAAATGTGAAAGCAATAAAATAGAAGAAGACAATTACAAACAAGATAGTATAAAAGGGTTAATACAAGAAATTAGATCAGGGAGAAACAGAAATTAACAGAAAGATAAAAGGGATATTCCCTATACACTCACAAACTGGAGTATCATACTCATTCATCAGAATCTAGACTATGGAGAATTAAGTCATTGACCATAAACTATGCAGCTATTTATAGTAGCTACTCATGCTTATTACAGAAATGGCCAAATGGGCTGTGATTGTTAGTTGTAAAACTTCTTGACCTACTATAGCCCTTTACCTTGATATCATCTTATAAGGGTTCCAAATTGAGAGTACTAGGCAGAGATGTATCAGGAGGTAAGAAGATTTAACATTGGAAGTCTCCTCAGCATCTTTGAGACCTTGGAAAGTCTTCTTCAAGATGTTGACGAAACCAAGAGCTCTCTCAAGTTCCTAATCATTCAAGAATCGAAAGTAATATTCCATCCTTGATATCCCCAAACTGCTTCTGGTTTTGCTTCAAGAAGTGATACAATGCTAAAAAAAACTTGAAACAGATCAAGAGAACCATGTCTTAACCAGTTATCACTCCAAGAAAGTTTTTCCCTCCATCCCCACCACCACCACTCCTTTATAGTAGTATCAGCAGCCAAGGAATTCCAGTAGTCTGCTATATTCCAAACCCCAAACCCACAAGGACTGTTAACAATTCTTGAGCACCAATGTCCATCCCGATCATACTTGTCACAAATGACCCTTCTCCACAAGGTATTAACTTCCAGGTTATACCTCCATAGCTATTTCATAAGTAAGTTTTGATTGTGTGCCTTGAGATTCTTGATGCACAAACCTCCTTTCTTTTTACTTGTGATAAGTGTGTTCAAATTAACCAAATGGCATGCTTTATTGTCTTTGTTTCCTTGCCATATGAAATTCCTCCTTAATGCATCAATTATTTTCCTCACTTTGCAAGGTAAAAGGAACAAAGACATGACATAGGTAGGAAGTGCATCAAGTACAGTGTTCACTAACATCACTCCTCCTCTCATAGATAAATATTGGCTCTTCCAGATTGCTACTCTTTTCGCATCTTTCAAGTACCCTATTCTAGATTTCATGAGCTTTATCTTTGGAGCCCAAGGACAGCCCGGATAAGTAGTTGGTAGTGACTCCACACCTCACAGCCCAAAGTTGCTGCTAGAACCTGAATATTAACAATCTCTTTAACTGGGAATAGCATACTCTTTCTCCAGTTAACATGAAGCTCCGAAACTGCTTCAAAGATGATTTGAATAAGCCATAGGTGTTTAAGCTGATTTGCTTTAGCATCACAGAAGACCAGTGTACCGCATGCATTGAGGAAATGAGTGGTCTCCATATTGTCAACCTCCCTATTAGAAGCTTTAATCCTTCAGCCATCCTTTTCCTTTAGATAATGGTGCTATATAAATTAGGCAAGTTCTGGTGGATAAGGACTTGTATATAAACAACAGAGAAACCTAGATACATAGGGCTAAGAGCATGGTCTCCCATAAAATTTATGATTTGTCTGTATTTATCGCCTCACGAGGCACCAGAAAAACATTTAGGGTTCTTGATCCGGGATTTTTACCTCATTGACAGATGGTTGCACCCTTCAGAATCCTAGACCCCAAGGTTTTTGCCTCATGAACATTGAGTAAATCCCTTCATCACTGATCCACCGTAATTCTTACACAGATGCTCTCTAACTTGTAAGATTTGGCCGACTGAAATCTATTTTCCCCCCTCCTCCCACACCCCACACGTACAGCTAGAGCTAGAATTAGAAGCTCTGTAACTATTTTTCTCTTTTCCTTTCTTACTCTTTTTGGAGGTCTCTCGCATTGATAATGCTGAGGAATACAATAATACCAGTTCCTCAAAACAAACAAACAAAAAGATAGAAAAAGTTTGTTTTGGTTTAGACAAAAACAAATATGGAAAAGACAATGTTGAACATTTTTTATGACAACGTGTAGTTAATGAATTGACAACCTTACCAATAAAAAAAGTAATGACAATTACCAATAATATATGATACAATTTTTTTATAAGGCATGATCTAAGAAGTGTTCAAGCAATCATCTATAATACATATAAGTAAAACCTACACTGAGCTAGCGTTTGGCCATAGATTTCCAAATATTTTTGGCAAATATTATTTGTGTTAAAATTTGGGTGAAATTTCACCATCTGTTTGGCCATAGTATTTGGGAAACATATTTCACTTTTTTAGGAAATATGATTTATACCCATAAGTTTTAAAAACTATCAAAACTAACCATATGTTTGTATTACAAGTCACTTGGATCTTCGTTGCAACAAATAACTAGTGTCCATGACTCTGGAGCAATATGATAGTTCGGAGTAAGTGTAACAAGCATCATTCCATACATAGTGAAGTAGACAAAGCAACCCTGAGCTGATTGTTCATCATTTTCAACAATAATCATATCATCACTTTGGTGTTTACATAAAAAAATTATGTAATACAACGCAAACAACTAATATAGAAGGTGTTTTTTGCAAAACAAGAAAGTTTGGTGTAGAATTTAAATTTTTAAAAGATTCCAAATAATGAGATTTGGCTCAAAAACTAGTTTTTTCTAATATTTGGGAATTTGGGTTATTTGCCAAAAATATTTGCCAATAATGACAAATTATATGGACAAACACTATTTGCCAAATTTTCGTCCAAATATTACTTGGGAAATCTATGGCCAAACGGGTTTCTATGTCTCCCACAGCCATGAAACATTTTATAAATCTCAATGCATCATAAATTTAAGGACTTACACGAGTCAAACATTTACACATTCACCATTATTTGATACTCTTACATTATGTTTGTATAATGTGGTACCCTACTTTGTTTCAACTACTAGACAAGCCATCTCTGCTCGCCGCCCTCCCCGCTTTGGTGCTTACCTAATGCAGCGGACTTCACGAGCTTTTATGGTTACATACACTACATTTTCCTCTCTCTAATCATCTGATTTTACATTAAAATACATAATTTTTTCACAACCAAACAGGAGGCATCAGCTTCATTTCCTAAAGGTATATGCCTATCAGTAAAGGTAAAAAGTTTATTCTTCTTTTAACTTGTTTTTCTTTTTCTTGTAGAATGGTCAGATCCATCTAAAGGACTCATAATTCATAACCAACGCATGTGCAATTCTAGACCATTGTAGACCGACTTAACAAGTCAGCACATTTCTTACTGTTAAAGTTGGCTGACACAGCGTAGCAGTATGCCAAGTTGTACTTGAAGGAGATTATCTGTTATTATTTAATCATGTATTATAATCCCCACATTATCATTCAAGTATAAATTGTTCACAAACCAAACAACCTCCAGTACGGATAAGCTCTTGCTTTATTCTGTTTAAGGTGGGGCATGCTTAAGTTCAATCTTTTAATTCTGGTTGGAAATGAATTAATTTTATTCTCTTGTGTCGTTAAAAAGGAGAGTGCCTTAGTTAATCAAACAAATATCTAATGAACAATTGATAGACTGCCAAAGAATTCAAATTTAAAAAACAACAGGAAGGCAACTGAAGTTCAATAACCAGCAAAACGACAAGATTAACGACCATGCTACTTCAGAATATAATATAGAAAAAACTATTAGTTCATATAGAGAACGGTCAGATACCCTAGATTTTCGATGCCATTAATTGGCTCGAGAAGCTGCAGCTGATGTTGCTGTGTCTCCTGTTCTGTCTGAATTTGCTGCAATGCCTGCACATTACCACCATCAATTGGTGCTGCTGCAGTAGTTGGAGTCCCTTTCCCTTCCACTAACCGCCACATATACCATGCCCCTGCAGATCTATATGGCTTCCATTTGTCACATAATTGCTCCATCTGCGACGGTCTTGGCAGTTCCTCCAGCCCATACAGCAATTGCACACCTTTCCTGACCCCCAAGTCACTAACAGGCAAAACATCTGGTCTATGAAGTGAAAAGATCATGAACATGTGCACTGACCAAGAACCAATACCCTTCACCATTGAAAGCATGGTAAACAATGACCTATCATCCATCTTTACAAGAGTTTCATCAGACAAAATCCCACTTCTATACTTGTTTGCCAAGTCATGGAGATAACTAGCCTTCCGCCCTGAGATTCCTACTTGCTTGAGCTGTTGAGGAGAAAGGTCGAGGACAATATCGGGGCAAACAGCGTCCTCTCCTCCACAAAGTGACACAAAGCGAGTGTAGATTGAGGTGCCTGCTTTATAAGCTAGTTGCTGATAAAGAATGCTCTTGCTAAGGGCTAAAAACGCAGAATGGTGCAACTCAAATTGTGGGGAAGGAAGTGTATCTATTAAGGAAACAAGAAGAGGGTCCACAGAACGTAGATGCTGCAGTGCATTGTCAATCTCTCCATCAGCTGATAAGGGTTTGATGATTTGGGGCAAAACCCTTGATGATTTCGGTGCACTCTTCCGACGATTCTTCGTTACGGTAATCGCTCCGCTGGTTGCAGTGGATGATGCTGGTACGGTGGTTTCCGGGGTTTTCCCATTGGAGGATGGGGTGGAAGAGAGTTTTCGGATTTTCTGTGGTCGAATTGGGATTTTGGAAGGGTTAGAGGGGTTTGGTGGAAGATCAACTGGAGAGTTCGATACAAGGGTGGAATCAGAAATGGGTAGAGGTTGAGGTAGAGGTAGAGGTTGAGGTTGAGGTTGAGGTTGAGGTTGGGGTTGGGATGGAGTTTGGGTCTGTTCACTCATGAGCGCTAAAAATAGCCACGAAAGATTCGCTAATATTTTCCGGCGGTTTTGTAAGAGGAATAATTGGAAGTTTCCGGTGGCAATCGACGGCGGCGGCCCGAAGAGTAGCTGAAGACGACGGTGAGCAGTGCGGTCTCGTAATATTGAGGTGAAATAATCAAAATGTCCCCTTATGGCAAATGCTTTTTAAATAAAATAAAATCGTCTATCTTTCCATTTGTTGGACCTTTAATTATTATTATTTTAATTAAAAGTATCTTTTTCAAAAAAACGAAATTATAAAATGTCATATGTAATTTATAAAGTTTTGATAAAATAGTTAATATTAACTTATTAATATATATGTTGATATTATTAAGACTAATTCATAAATAATCTAATCGAACTAAATTTATTCGTGTTGATAATTATTGGAACTGAATTTTTAAAAAAATACATATGGGAGTAGTGTGTTTTTGGATCTGAATTTTTAAATGATGTATCTACAGTATGATGCTCTAAATAAACTTATATTTTTTTGGGTTAAGTCATCCACGGCCTCTTAAAGTTGTCCGCATAATTCATTTAGACATTTTAATTACGACTTGTACCTATTGAACACTTAAACTATTCAAAATATTTACATATTAAACACAAAATGCTTATGTGGCAAAATAAGTGTAGTTCACTCTAGTTGGGCGCGTGAGTAGATTCCAGATTTTTATTAAATTTTTTTTGATAAATTTGTCTTTTTTTGACACATGGCATACAATAACTAAAAGAATAATAATTTAATTCAATAATAGTCTTAATTTTTTTTAAAAATAACCAACCCACACTTCTTTACCGTCTTCTTCACTACAAAATCTTTGTTCTTCCTTTTGGTTCCATTAATTTTTCTTCTTCATTTTTTGTTTAAGGAACAAATTGAATCTGAAGAAATATATCTGGATAGAGTGTTCTTAGCGCCAATATCATTGTCGAAAAAACATCAACTAAAGAAATAATCAGCCAAAACAGAAAAAAATCAAAAGAGATTATTGATAAAAATTGTCATTGAAGTTGTAGAAGAGTATTTCATCAAAAAATAAAAATTAAATTGAGTCAAATTCCAGCGAACACTACTTTTTCCGACAAGACTAAACGGATTTGAAATTATTTTCTTTAAAACTGCTAAAAAATCAAACCATAAAGAATCACAACATAGAAGAAAAAGTAGAATATACAAATCTGAATTGAGTTTTAAAAAGAAAGTAAATTTAGGAGTGGCGATTGTGTGTTCTCAGAAGAAAAGGGGAAGATGAACACGGGGTGGTTGCGTGGGTGGGTGGGGGTATTGTGCTGAAAAGAAATTGGGGAAGGATGACTTTAATTTTTATTTTATTTTTGGCTAAACACATAATTTTCATTTTTTTTCTTGAATTGTTATTATGGGTCCATGCCATATGTCTTTTTTTTTTATTGGTCACTATGTCACATCATTTGCGAGTGTATAACACATTCTCTTTATTTTTAGTTGATTATCAAAAAATGTTCGATAGGTATAATTTTTAACTAATAAAGGTGTTCCAATCAACAAGCCTAAGATAAGGTGTCTAATTGAATTATCTGGATAATTTTAAGGGACCGTCGATGACTTAAGCCTATTTTTTTTATAGAAGTATTTGGTGTAGCTGATATATGCATAATTTAGCATGTGCATCTCATGTATTTAATCTTTTGTCTCATAATCAGGCCTCTTACCACATTATCTTGTGATTTCAATAATTTTTACTACCAATTATAATTATCATTTAAGAAAAATTATCTAATCATCTTAACCAAACTTCAGATATTTTTTATATCTATTCAATTATCAATTAATATTTTCACATCATTTCGTACCTTTATTTTCGAAACGTTATTTTTCTAATGAATATAATGACTTAATAGAATATTTCTTTCATGTTTTATGCAATTATAAAGTACACTATAAATTTCATATGAAACTTTTACGATTTAGTTCAAAACATCATCATGTGAAAGTACAATTAAATTTTAAGAATTTAGTTTTGATAGTAAACATGACATTTTATTATGAATAGAGAAAAGACATAAAATCATCACTGAAGTTGTTACGAATTTTCAAAAAGACATCTTAACTTTGAGGACGTCCTATCACCCCACAAAAGTATTGAATATTTTTGTAAAAAGACCATTTTGACCCATTTTCTCATTATGTTTGTGAACACGCACATGATGCGCGTGAATATCCGTTTTTAATGCCAAAAACCAATTAAAAGCTGCCACATTTAAGTTATTTTCTTTATTAATTATTTACTCCTTTCAAATTCATCATCTTCCCCAACAAAAGAGTCATAGCTACTCTATGATGAGCTGATGAAATCAACTTAATAAGGTAGGAATTCGTTTTAATTTCCAATCGAAAAAGCTAATTTAAAGTTGCCCGATGTTTCATTTCTTCTTAATTTCATTTAGTTTTGAGAACCCAAAAATCAAACAAAACTCTCAAATCAGTTGTTTTTTCGGGAGGATCAACATCGACCTAAGACTTGCTAGCTTTTGAACTTTGATCGGCGGCGGCGGGGTCGCAAGATGTTTCCGAGACTTGTCCATTGAAGCTCGAGTTTTATCAAGCCATGGTTTGAAAACAAGCCCAATCGCCAACCACTCAAAAGAATGGCTCCAAATACTAGTACTACTATCAATTTCAATGAATTATTCTTCGTCATTGAAACCACAAGCAGCTTTTCCGATATACATGCCGATGAGGGTTTTAGTTTGCAGCTGAAATGATTTGTTATTGTTACTATTCTAAATTGTTAATCTTCAATTCATTGTTTACTCTTCTAGTTCTCCAAGAAATTTGACCAACAAACATCAAAATTGTAGGAGATGATGTCAAGCCCCGAGCCTACACCCTGGGCAGGACTGGCACTCGAAGACCATTGTTGGCCTCAAGCGAACCCTTGGCCTGGCTTACTGACTCAGCGGAAGACTATATGCAATAAGAAAAGAATTCAAATGCTAACTGACTCAATTGTCTGGAACTGAAATCAAAATGTTTTTAAAAATAAACATTTAACTTAGCCAAAGTGGCAACCCAAATCTGAACATAAGTCAATAACAAAATAAAAACAAATGAACTAACTGAATGTCTATCTATGAAGTCTTTAATAACTGGGATGGATGTTGGGACAAGCCCCACAACATCCTAATGAACTGAAAGCAATAAAATGAGTCCTCTGAAAAGCAAGGAGGCTCACCAAGTGACTCTGGAGTGCTCAACTAGATCAACGATGCGCTGGATGCTGATCCCAATTACCTATGTCTGCATCATAAGACGATGCAGGCCAACTGGCATCAGTACATTGAATGTACGAGTATGCAAGTTGGAATACTAAAAACAACATAAGTTTGAAAGGATTCTGAAAGAAACACTTCCCTTGGCTCTTCCCAACTCATGAATACTTAATTGAACTCATTTCATTATAAAGCAGTTTTAAACAAGTGCAATATAAAGAAAAATTGTTGAAAACATGCTGTCAATTCATAATCATAATACAATAAAAAGACAAACCATTCTTCCTCTCAAAGTCTACTTGTGCAATGCATGAATGAAGTCACCTACCCCCATTCACACTAAGCAGAACCCCTTGAGGAACCATGCAACTACTGTTGTGGGAGTTTCTCTAACCAACAACCATCACTTAAGAACTATAGTGATGATACAACGTTTTACCTCACGCTGCCGACGTCCATCCTATACCTTGCAGTGGTATAGGAAGCTAACTCACTAAGTGGATCCACTAGTCTATGCGAAAATTATTCATCTAAAAAGTATGACCCTTTTTCTACCCATGATGACTACATGGTTTATGGAGACTTGAGTTAATATGAACTCGCATCCCTATATCGGTGCTCAATACTACTCCAAAAAATATACTTAGTTCATATGTTTTTTTAAAAAAACCAACTTCTTCTGTGATTTGAGATTAATGCTAAAAAACTTAGCTCAAAGGTTATCTTGGAAATCAAAGTTTCCTCTCTTGCTTTATTTAGAAAGCGATTACTCTTTTCTGAAAACTAGCACAAAGGCTCTTTGGAAATCGAGGTTTTTCCTTTCTTGTTTGAATGTGAAAACATTTTAAGCCATTTGGGAATACATAGTCCCATATACTTTTGAAGAAATGAACTTCAATCTTTACTCAACTTGAACTTTAAGTCTTAAAAACAAAGTTAAAAGCATTTACAAAAGACTTCTTGAAAAGACTCTGAGAACTTTCTAAACTTGGCTCTTAACTTCTCTTAATTTTGATCCTAACTTTCCTTGAATTGAATTATGGATTCAAGGTTCATGATCTCATATTTATGGATGATTTCATGATGTTTAGATGTACCGTAGAGTGTTGGAATCAACTAGAAAACATAGGTACATTGTTAAGGAACAAGTACGAAAAGCGGGGGAACGAATGGGGAGAACTGGCGTCCCTGGCGCTCTAAGAGGCGCGGTGCGCAAGCCCTCAATATTCAGGGAATAAGTTGGGGCGCTCTGGCTGGTGCATAACCCTAGAGCCCAACATTCAGGGACTGCTTTGGGCGTGTTGGCTGGCGCGACGCCCCACCCCTTCCCCAGGTGTTTGACAACTTTTCTTCTCCGTTTCTCAACTCTAAACCCTCTAAACTTCAATGGTTCTTTCCCCAAACACTTAGGATCATTTATACCCTCAATATATGATAGATTCAAACTGAAATTACACCCGGAAACATGAATCAAATCACAAGAAACTTCAACAAAACAATCCACAAGAATTCAAACGAATTACATCAAGAACTCAAAGGATTTACTTTCAAATCACACCTATTTCGCTTAATTGAATCATGATTGGCGCATGGGTGAACTAACACAACGCTATGTGATCTCACATACCTTGTAGGGATTACCTCCGGAGAAATCCACAAGCAAATCACGATGATCTTGATAGGTCTTGAACGTTCTTCTCCTTTCTCTTTTTTTCCTCCTCTTCTCTCAAAACCCTAACTCTTTTGGTAAAAGTGTAAATTGATGTAACTTAGCTTAGACCCCTAATTAATAACCAAAAACAAATTAAAATAAAAGGGTAAGGAAAAGACCAAACTACCCTTTAAAAATCCGGATTGGACTTTCCTTATTCCAACAACCCAACTTCCAAAGGGTATAACTCACTCATACGAACTCAGAATCGCGCAAACTTGGCGGCGTTGGAAAGATCATTCCAAGGGATTTCCAACCATCTCTGAAACTACACATAACTCATCCTGAGCTAGGAGTTATGGTTGTTTGAAGTTGACCAAAACTCAACTTTAACTTACTTACAATTTTCCAGATTTCCTTATACTTTCCAAAAATAACTATTTCCAAATTTTTAAACTTCATTCTAGTTCTTTCTAGTTGTGAGGTGTTAAAATATATCCCCCTTGGGAACATTCGTCCTCGAATGAGATTACTCTTACTAGGCTAAGGGCGTCACATCAAACATACAGTTTAAACACCAAATAAGCACAATGTAATTTCAACATGCCAACTTAATATCAATGCCAAGAAAATGATTAGTAACTTAAATCTGGAATTTCTCTAGGTTCGAAGAAGTGTGGGTATCTCTTCTTTCTATCCTCTTTAGCTTCTCAAATAGCTTCTCTACAAACTGATTTCTCCATAGAACTTTGACTTGGTAATACTTTCTTAGTCCTTAACTTGCGAACTTGGTGATCTAGAATCTGAATCGGAACCTCCTCATAAGATAGCTATTCTTGATACCAATATCCTCTGTTGGTATAAATAAGGGAAGTATCTCCCAGGCACTTCTTCAACATGGAGATGTGGAACATCGGATGGACTGCTGCTAACTTTGGTGGTAGCTCTAACTTATAATCTACATTGTTAATCCTCTTAGATATTCTGTAAGGACCAATATACTGGGGACTGAGTTTTCCCTTCTTACCAAGTCTTATAACACCCTACCTGGGTGAAACTTTCAAGTAACTCAATCATCTACCATTGGTACATACAATTTACCTTGATATTTCAATACACCATCTCCCCCTTGTTCAAAAGCTAATACTTTTTGCTTATGAACAATTGCCTCCTACTCAAGCAAGAATGGGGTATTAATCTTGCTTCTCTTTTACTTCTGACACTAATGATGATTCAGCTCTATTCGTCACCACTATTCCTCCTTCTGTGGAATCCATAAGTCTGACTCCCAGGCGTGCAAGTCTGTGCACATCCTTTACTAACTCTCTATTTTCTTCCTCAACATGGGCGGTACTACCCATAGATAACTTGCTTAATGCATCAGCAACCACATTAGCCTTACCTGGGTGGTAAAAAATACTCATGTCATAATCTTTGAGTAACCCTAACCATTATCTCTATCTGAGATTAAGCTCTTTCTGACTAAATACATACTGAAAACTCTTGTGATCGGTGAACACTTCCACATGAACACCATAAAGATAATGGTGTCATATTTCAAAGCAAAAATTACAACAACCAACTCTAAGTCATGGGTTGGGTAATTCTTCTCATAAACTTTCAACTGCTCCTTAAGCTCTTTCAACTCAACTGGTGCCATTCTATATGCAGAAAAGATATAGGACGAGTATCTGGAATGATGTCTATGCCGAAGTCTATTTCTCTCTCAGGAGGGACTCCGGGTAGGTCATCAGGAAAGACTTCTGGAAACTCTTTTACTACTGGAACTGACTGAATGAGAGGTACCTCAACACTTGAGTCATTAACTCGGACTAAGTGATAGATACAACCATTCGAAACTAACTTTCTCATCTTAAAGTACGAAATGAAACGACCCTTAGGCACTGCTGGACTACTACTCCACTCTATGACTGGCTCATTAGGAATCTGAAACTTGACAACTCGAGTTCTACAATCTATTGATGCATAACAGGCATGAAGCCAGTCCATACCTAGAATGACATCAAAATCTACCATATCTAACTCAACTAAATCAGCCATGGTACTCATAGAGGCGGTTTGCTCCTCTGCTACCATTTCCTTGCATGTTCTTTGGACACTCTCGCATGAAGTGACCCTCTTGTCCACACTTGAAACAACCTGTCTGGCCCTGACGACACTTTCCTGGGTGGGTTCTACCACACCTAGCACATGCAGGAGCCCAATTACTTCATTGTGCCACACTACCCTAAGACTGTGCGGGTTTAGCTCTGGAATTCTGACCATTGTACTCACATTTGTTCCTAGGTGCAGGTGTACTACCAGATGATGGTGCAGGTCTCTTTTGCTTCTATAAGGACGAATGATTCACACTACCCTTCTGCTGCCCAGACTCATTCTCTGTCTTCGCTTTCTTATTTCTGAACCCTTCCCTGTCTCTCTGCTTCTCTTCCTCAACTTGCTGCACATAAACCATCAACCTTGATATGTCCATGTCACCTATCAACATCGCTGCCCTTCCCTCTTTGCTTGATAGACGGCCTAAACCAGCAACAAACAAACTCATTCTACTCTTCATATCCTTAACCATCTCCGGAGCATAACGGGATAGTTGGGTGAACTTCAACCCATATTCATGAACACTTAGAGAATCCTGCTTAAGTGTAAGAAATTCCCGTACCTTAGCCTCCTTCAATTCTCGGGGAAAGAATCGCCCCAAGAAAGTTTCCTCAAAACAGGCCCAATTCGCAGGTGGTGCATCCTCAGCTCTACCCCTTTTCCACTGATCAAACCAGGTCCTAGCAACACTCTTCATCTGATATACAACTAGCTCAACTCTTTCAGTATCAGCAATGTGCATCACATCAAATACCTTTTTCAGTTCTTCAATAAAGTTCTCTAGATCTTCAGTAGTGGTCGAACCAGTGAAACTTGGGGGATTCATCCTCAAGAACTCACGAATCCTCGAAGTGTCAGCCCCTTCTTGTCGAGCTTCTCTTTGCTGACGAACCCGGTTAGTCACAACTTGACTCAGCATTCTAATTGCTTCTCTGAACTCATCATTAGTAACTTCTCCTTGCGGTTGCACTTCAAGTGCAGGTAACTCTTGCTCTTCAACATTTCTCCTAGTTGGACGACCTCTGACTGCTGTTCGTGGAGGCATAATTGTCTGAAACACGCGCAAGCACAAATTTAGAGGGAAACTTTTTAGAGATCAAACTCTAACGCACAAAAATAGTATGAAAGAAGTAAGATAGTTCCTAAATATTGCAGCCTCCTAATTATAGATGTGGTGCACTTCACATCGATAAATAGAACTCTACAGACACGACTTCATAGACTCCCTAGGACTCTTGAACTCTGGGATCTGATACCAAGTTTGTCACACCCCGAGCCTACACCCTGGGCGGGACTAATGTTTGTCTTAACCAATGACACAACTTTCAATTCAAGCGTCTACGATCGTGCAACAATATAATAACCCAACCAAGGGTTGAGGTCGTCCCAAGGGAGTGGTTTTGAGATTAATAGAAAAATAAAATTTAGCTCTAACTAGTCGTAGCTAAAGATATTAACGAACAAAACCATAGTAAATTAAAGGGGGTGACACGAAAGTGTCAAATATTAAATGGGGGTTTTGTCACAAGTAAGTTAAGAAAAACAAAAATTAATAAGAAAATCAAGTATGGGGAGAGGTTCTTGGGGAGTGAACGCAACATATATTGATATAAAGATGTTGGGTACATGCTTTCAATAGGAAATTTGCAAGATAATAGTGACTAGGTTAAGCTTTAGATGGAAATAAGTTCCCTCTCGGGTAACTTACCTCGTTTCAAATGAGTTCCTCTTGGACACCCATTTGCTGCATGAAGGCTAACCTACACCTTACCCCACTCACTCTCTCGAGCTGAGTGTTAGGATATGAGACTAGGGCTCACCCTCTCGAGTTGAACCTCATGTCGACCCACTCCTTAGTCCATCAGTCTAGTGGTCTTGGTTTCACGAACTCTCTCTCGGGCATGCCGAAAACACATGGGTGGTTTTGTATTTCCAACTACAAACCCATTAAATTAAACCACAACCACTAGGTGAAATTAAAATATATCTAACATATTAGCAAGCAAGACCCAACGATAATATCAACACATATTTGCTAAATCACACCCCCAAGAATGGGGGGTTTTAGCCACACATCAAGAAATAACAAAAATATACCTAAAATGATACTAAAATCAAATGGGTATAAGGAATTAAACCTTGATTTAAGCAAAGGAAGAAGAATGGAGAAGATCCACTTCCAACTTGGGGAAGATGAAATCCTTCTTTCTTCAAGTCTCCCAAAAACCCTTTCCAAACTTGAGAGAAAATATCTAAAATAGTACTATTCTATTGTGAAATTAATAATAATGGTTCTCCTCTTAAAAACTAATAAAGAGTTTAGTATTTATAGCCATTAGAAATTAGTGTTGGCAGATAACTCGGCGAGGTTAGTCGAGTTCGTCGAATGACTCGACGACTCGCCCTTCTTTTGTCCCATAGCCATTTCATGCTTGCCTTCAGCATCTTCACGTTATGGATCATTAGGCGGTATAGTACGGCTTTGTGAAACTATTCGGTGAAGCGCCGACTGCTCCTTTCATCGCCTCTTTGATCCTCTTCCTTCAGGGCTTCGTGTACTAGAACAAAGGGCGGAATCTATCCCTTTGGCGACTCGCCAAGTGTGCTTGGCGGAGCTCAGGCTTCAGCTTTTTCGTTCTTTTCAGCCTTTTTGTTCCTTTTTGCGCCTAGGCGTCCATGCTTTCGCTAAAACTTCAAATACCTGAAACTTAAGAGTTTTCATCAGATATTGAGACAAAATAAGCATTCGAGGACACTATTTCTATTAAAATAAAGCCCTCCAATTTGTGGACTCATCAACACCCCCAACTTAAACTTTTGTTTGTCCTCAAGCAAACTCAAGTTCACCCGTTCAAAAAGGGTGTCTCAAACAGTGCTACATAAGACTAAATCATAAATGCACATAACAAGACTCAATTTACTTATGCAAGGAGCAATTGTGTACTCAAAGATTCAAGTTGTGACACACCATTACCAAAGATTCTCGTGCTCGCAATACTTGTTACTTGTGCAAGTTCAAGCTCAACAAGAAGTATCTATTTGCCTTCGCGTAAAGAATGATTTCATGTTCACACACAGATGCTAGTCAATTCAAAATCAGGAATCACATGCAACATTCACACTCAAAAAGAGGAACACAATGCATGTTTTCACCCATTGGTTTGCCCTTATTTTCTAATCGACTTTCGATTCGGCTTACTCAAGATCAAAAAGGTCTTTCTAAGGCTTGTAGTGGGGATGAGTGCAAAGGTATGGTCATTTAGGCTCAATGACTTTTTCCTCGTGAGATGTGGTATTATCGAGGCATCCCTTTCTTTTCCTTTATCAATTCTTTTTTTCTGGTGCTTCTAAGTCATCTTTTTATTCACCTTCATAGATTGCTTGGAAACCTGATTTCCTTTGTACTTTATTCCACACATTTTTTATTTTATTTTTTTATTTGAAGGGGTTTCCATTTTTATGCAATACCATGGGTTAAGGAGGATTTTTCTTGTACTTCTTGATTTCTCCTTTTCCTTTTCACCACACCCCAACTTAAACTTTTGGCCTAAGTTGGCTATTCGCTAAATCACAAATCAAGAGGATTATAGGTAGTGGGTTAAGTAAGGTTTAGGGTTCATCGGGGTTCTTCCAAAGAAAGGTAAGGCTCAAAGGGTGTTCAAAAAAGTTTCACACACTCACGGGTAGGCCACTAAAGAGGTATATGTCAAATTTAGCTCACACTCTTTAAAGTTGCCTAAGATCATCTCAAGAGGACACCTTTCTAAATCAACCAGACTAACGGGGCAAATTCTAGGTTTATTCATGCATGGTTAAAAGACAGCTAATCACACAAGGCATCAACACTTAAGTCACACAAGACTACATACTTTCGCTAGTGTGCAATGGTCATTACAAGAGAATCAATTCGATAAATGGCTAATCACAACGAGATGCAAAGAGTTTACATATTGTTTATGCAACTTCATTTGGCCTCATCATAATCGTACATTAGGGGTGGCAGGGGGACCGGGTCGGCCTGCCCCGGCCCGCGACCGGTTTGAGAACCGGCCTGCCGGACCCGGTCCCGTTTGAATATCGCGGGATGGGGCTTTCGGGATTAGGGGACCGGTACCGGTCCGGTTCACCCGTTGGTCCCGGTTGACCCGGCCCAGATGAACCGGCCGGTTCGCGGGATCCCCTAACAAATATTATTTTATTTTTAAAAAAAATTCTATCCGTTGGGCAACGGCTAGTGGGCCCCCCCAACGGATATTTTGACATTTTTTCCCCCAACCAACACCCCCTACCACCCCTACTTTTAATAATTTACTTTAAACCCTCAAGTTATTATAAATACACTTTAACCCACTTTTAATATTATAAATACCCCTCTATCCCTTATTATTTCTTACAAAATTATATATTCTCTCATCTATTTTTTATATTCTTTCAAGTCTCAACTCTCAATCTTAAGTCTCAAATCTCAATATTTTATTTCATTTAAGTCTCATATTATATCATAATACATATATTTCAATTCTAAGTTTTCATATTATATATCATAATATATATATCTAAGTTTTCATATTATATTTGCTATCAATTATTGGAGTTCCAAATTACAAGTTACAAGTTACAACAAACTACAAGCTTCAAGAATCGGTTATAACGTCTGCTATTAACGCAGACGTTTGGTACATTCGTTTCATAATATTTATATTTTATTTTTCGTCATTAATTTTTGTGTTATTATTATTTTTATATTATACTTTACATATAATTAAATATGAGTTCTAACAAAAAAAAATACCGGTAAAGGAAAAGAGAAGGAACCAAGTGGTATTAGTAGATTATTTAATTTTACTAAAAAAAGTAGTAAGGAAAAAAATAAGAGTAAATGTAGTGGTACTTCTAGAGTTAGATTTAATACAAATGATTCTACTTATGTTGATGATACTTCTTATGATATTGATTCAAATGCTCAACTCGATCATGAAATTTTACAACAAATTTATGGTGATATTAATCCTTATCTTGATGAAAATTCAGGTGAAGAAGTAGAAGGTGGTTTGGGAGAAGATGAATTAGAAGATACACCTACTAGTCCGGTGACAAATGTTCCAAGTGAAACTACAAATTCAACGGAGCAAAATTCTGGACGCCCACCCCTTATACCTCCTACAAGGGAGAAGGTGAAGTATCAACGCCCTAAAACTTCTGTTGTGTGGCAATTTATGACTTTAAATAAGGAAAATTCTATTGCAATTTGTAATAAATGTAAGCAACCTTTTAAACATAAACAAGGTGGAGATCAAGGTGGGATGGAGGGCTTAAATAGACATTTGTTATCTTGTGTGACGATTCAATATAAAGAAGTTAAATCATTAGCCAATAGAAAAAAAGGAATTCAAGTTAATGATTTTGATATTAATGTTAATGAATCGGTAGGGGCTTCTAACATGGTTCAAGGAACATTAGATCCTTCTAACCCCGGTGGTCCACTAACACAACGTAAATATAATAAGGAAAGAGATCGTGAAAATTTAGCTAAAATGGTTTCTGTTTGTGGTTTACCTTATAGTTTTCCTTCACATCCCGGTTTTATTGAATATATTCAACAAACTTATAATCCTAATTATAGAGGTTTTTCAAGAAATACTGTTAAATCTGATGTTTTTGTATATCAAGGTAAACATTGTCAATATCTTCGTTGTGTGTTTAGCATATTAGATTGTAAAGTGTCTATAACTTCGGACATGGGTCGTAGTGTTAATGGACGTGATTATTTAACTGTTACAGCACATTGGATTGATCATAACTGGAATTTGCAAAAAAGAATCTTAAGTTATAAAGAATGTGTAGAGAAAAAAACTGGTGCATATTTAGCTTCAAATATTTTGAGTGTTATAGATTATTACATGCTTATAGATAAAGTAATGTCTGTCGCATTAGATAATGCATCTAATAATGTAAACGCTGCTAGTATGTCAAAAACTAGATTATGTCCAATTGATGATAATTCTTTTCATGTTAGATGTGTTGCACATGTATTAAATTTAGTTG